GGGAGGTCTGGGCGGAGGTTCGGGGAGGGAGGTCTGGGGGGAGGTTCGGGGAGACAAGGGAAGGTGGGAGGCTCGGGGAGATAGGGGGGAAGAGGGAAAGATGGGGGGATGGGAGGTTCAAGGGAAAGATAAGGGAGACGAGGTGAGCTCCCTCCCCGTTTTTTTTTTTTCCCCCAGACATCCTTCCCCTGTTAACGCGGTCCGGACAGTCCGGTGTCCGGTGCTGTCTGGTGTCTGGCACTGTCCGGTGTCCGATGCTGTCCGGACCGGTCCAGACACAGGTCCGGAGAACAGTCCGGAAATGTCCGGTGTCCGGGTCCGCGGTTACCATGTAATAAGGTGAAGTGCAATCGGACTCGTTCTCATTCACACTTTTCATGCATGTAAACAGTAGCGCAGCAAACTGGCGATATGCGACCACTCAAAACTCAAAGATATAGCATCCACATACGAGTTCACTTTCAACTGGCTATGGCGACTCAGCGCCCAAACAACTCACTGTTCACATACACCGGATCACCCTAGATATCCCACATGCGTCACTCTGAACACTCACACATACACACACACACTTCACACTAAACTAAAGCTATGGCAGCTATGGCTGCCTCTACCCTATCGCTATGCTACGCTCCTTCTCTCTCCCCCACTTCAGCTCCGGGCTCTCTGCAGACCTCCTTGGACGCACAAGTCGCTGTGGCAGCGCTTCCGCATGGCTCACGCAGGAATGAATGCAAGGCTGGGCGCTGCCTCTTGATTTATGCTTCTGAAACTCGGTGGTCTACCCCCCTTTCCATCGGCCCATGGTGCTCACAGTCCCTTGTGGTACTTGTTGGACCGGACTGGGACTGACTGGACCTTACCACTAACTGACTTTGGACTCACTGCTAACCTACCGTAGTCGTACTGCGATTGCACTGCAGTTTAGTCCACCACTTGACTCACCACTTGCCCACTTGCCCACTTGCTGACCTTCTAGAAGCACTACAGCTAGGCTTCTAGAACTCGCTAAGACTCCTACTCTATAGATCTACAGATCGAACCCCTGCTTCCTTTGGGACCCTATGACAGACTACTAACTGTTACAAATACACAGGTCGCAGGTTCAACTCTCGGGTCTACACAGGTACTGTACACAGGTAGGGCAAGGTCTAGGGATCGAATCTTGGGATCTGCGTCTGCTACTGCTAAGAGGTGAAAACCGTTTCACTCCCGCAGTCCTAAATTCGAGGTCCTCCGATAATATTTCAGTCCAAGGCAGGACCTTTACCTCTCTTATCACGCTCATAGGCTCTGCCTATGTCGGGAGCTGTTTCTAGAAGTTTTGTCCTTGTAAACTAGTGGTCGTCTTCCGGTTCCTGATAAGCAAACCGGACCTTATACTGTTTCTGGGGACGAACACATCCTCATCTACAATGCCGTCAATGTCATAACTTCCGTCCATATCCGGGGGGATCATGGATCTTCTTGAAGGGAACTGATGACTTGTGACACACGACAACAACTTTGAAGCATGGAACACAGGGTATGTGTGGAGGTTTGCTGGTATCTCTATAGTGTAGGATGGTCCATCTTCTCCGACCTTGACTTCTAGAACCGGCCACGGTCCTCTATATGCAGGCAGCAATTTCTGCAAGATGTGCTCCTCAGGTGCAAACTCTTTGGACTTGACCCAGACTAAGTCGCCTACTTGGAACTGAGACGGGCGACGATGCTTTTTTGCCGGTTCTATCATTCTGTGTTGGGCCTTCCTGAGGTTTTCAACAACTGTTGCTAGTTCTTTCTCGTGCTGTATTGCGAACTCCCTGGTACCGGGCGGAGTCTGTGAATCTGATCCCGGTTCAGTCCTTCGAACGGTCTGCGTGGTCTAGAGGACTTGTGCAGCTCATTGGGAGTGCGGCAGGTGGATAGATGCACGCTGTTGTTGTATGCACTAGCTACCTTAGGCAACATCTCATCCCAGTTGATCTGGTCAGGTCTAATGTACATGCGCAGAACTTGTTGTAGGATCTTGTTCATCTGTTCTGTCTGACCGTTGGTCTCTGGTTGACGACCAGACGACATTAGCAACTTAGATCCATCAACTCCCATGAGTTCCTGCCAGTTTTGGCTGGTGAAACGACTATCTCTATCGCTAACTATCGATAATGGGACTCCGTTCTCACTAACCCAATGATCGAAAAACTTCCGAATAACTAATTCGGTACGTGCCTCTGCAGGCAAAGGAACAAAAACAGCATACTTGCTAAAACGGTCACCTATGACCATCACTTGGCTCTTGCCATGCCTACTCTTGACCAAAGTGTCCATGAAGTCTATGGACACTGAGTCTCCAGGTTGATCAGGAATAGGCAGTGGTCTGAGAAGACCTAGGGGCGCGCGTGTAGTAGTCGTATTCGTCTGGCACACTTTACAACTGCGAACATGCTCTATGCAGTCATTGTTCATCCCTGGCCAGGTGTACGCACGCACCAGATTGGCTAATGTCTTTTGCCAACCGAAGTGTCCCTCCGTGTCATGGCATTCCCCTAGGATCAGACTGCGGATTTCCTCACTGTTGGGAACACATAAGCGGTTGAATATATCCATCTTCTCAAACAGCAATCCTTCGGTAGTGCGGTAGTGTGGCTCGGTCTCTGGGGCCTCTCTAACTCTCTTTAGGAGGTCGCTATAGATAGGGTCCTGTGCATACGCTTGTTTCACTTTCTCCTGCAGGTCTCTCCCTATATCCAGATAATGTACTATGGCTCCAACGTAGTCTGGTCTCCTACTCAGAGCGTCCGCAACTACGTTCTACTTACCCTTCACTGGCTTGAGCTCAAAGTCATACTGGTCTATCTCAGCGGCCCACCTAGTTAGCTTAGGTGTCATCTTGGCCTGGGTCTTTAACCATCTAAGTGTCTCATGGTCAGAATACACTTTGAAGTGCCTCCCAAGCAGGTAATGCTTCCAATGCTCTAAGGCTTGCCTGAGAGCGTAGAGTTCTCTCTCGTACGTCGAGGTAGCAACCTTCTTTGAGGGCATCCTCGCCGACATGAACTCTATGGGTCTGTAGCCATTGCCGTCGTCTTGCTGTAACACGGCGCCTATCCCATACTGACTCGCGTCCATGGTCACGACAATTGGCAAAGACGGATCGGCTACTTTGAGGACAGGGTACTCTATCAATGCGCACTTTAATTTCTTTAGTGCAGACGTACAATCTTTGTCCCATTGCCAGATTGCCTCTTTCTTTAACAACCTGTGCAAGGGAGCGGCGATGGTAGAGAAGTTCCTCACGAACTTCCTATAGTAGTTGGCTAGGCCTAAAAACGACCGCAATTCTATCAATGTGCGGGGCGTTGGCCAATCCCTAATCACCGCTATCTTACTGTCCTCTGGCTTAATGCCATCTCCGTCTAATACGTGGCCCAAGTACAGGACTTATGTCTTGGCTCACTCGCACTTCTTCGCATTGATCTTGAAGTTAGCCTCTCGTAGCTTCTCCAAGACCTGCCTCAAATGACCCTGATGCTCCTGGAGGGTCTTGNCTCACTCGCACTTCTTCGCATTGATCTTGAAGTTAGCCTCTCGTAGCTTCTCCAAGACCTGCCTCAAATGACCCTGATGCTCCTGGAGGGTCTTGCTGAAGACTAATATATCATCTAAATAGACTACTACAAACTTATCCAACCATGGTCTGAACAAATCATTCATACAACGCTGAAAAGTAGCAGGCGCGTTGGTTAGTCCAAAGGGCATCACTATAAACTCATAGTGCCCATAACTAGGGTTGTCACCCAGGGACCCCCGGGGGCAAAGCCGGGGCCGGGATTTCACCCCTGGACCCCCTCCCGCAGGGGCGTCGAACCCCGGACCCCGCAATCAACCCCCGCGCCCGCCCGACCCCCGGCACCCCCGCGGGACCCCAGCCTCGACACCCGGC